TCCCCCCCCCCCCCCCCACTCCCCCGCACTAACTGGGCCGGAGCACACTTACGTCATTATGAATGAATGAATGAGGCTTTAATATAGCGCTTTATGGTGTATTGCTGTACAGCCAAAGCAACAATCACAATCATTTACCATCATATGTGGGGGTTTCTCCTCAACCACCACCAATGTGCACCATCCACCTGTTAACTTTGTGGTTTATTATTTTGAGTCGTTTGGGACGTGGTGACACACAGCCCTCTCACAATATATTGCTTAACAGATCTATCGCTTTTGCCGCTCAGAAATTTTCACGCAATCGTGCTGCACATTTCCAGTTCTGCGCTTGGGTGCAGTTAGCACTCACACTACATGCGTACTGCGCCCGAGCCCAACTGAACCGTGATGTGGCCCACCTCTTCCAAGCGAGCCAGGGACAGCTAAATTAACTGACTAGTGATCACACTTGTCAAACGAACCTGGCATTGGGGGTCAAACACGCTCGGGCACGGTTCAGATCGTCTACTGTGAGTACACTCTTAATCTTGTTCTGTACACACAGAATTCAACCATCAGTGATGAATGAATGTATGATGATCACACATTTGAATTCTTGCTCAATTCACAAACAAATGACTCTCAAGAACCAGTTCTTGTTGGCAAATCAAAAACATACGACACAAAAAGAGGTAGTCTGATTCATGAACATATGACTCTTTTGAGCTGGTCCTTTTAATGAATCGTTCAAAATCCATCCAACCCGACTCATGAACATAGAACTATTTTGAGAAGGTCCTTTTAATGAATCGTTCAAAATCCATCCAACCCGACTCATGAACATAGAACTATTTTGAGAAGGTCCTTTTAATGAATCGTTCAAAATCCATCCAACCCGACTCATGAACATACAACTATTTTGAGCAGGTCTTTTTAATAAAATGTTCAAAATCCATTTATCCATCCATCCATCCCGATTCATGAACATAGAACTCTTCTGAGGTGGTCCTTTTAATGAATCG